TCTACAGTCGAAAAGTCTATAGAGTTTCGAGGAACGATTTTAAGTGAAACCGTTTTCAAGAATATAAGAAAAACAAATCGCCTCGTTTTTCGTATCGTCGTGTGTATGAAATGATATGGACACGTCGTAATAACGACTAAAACGCAGCGACGTTATTCGAATTAACGCGCATCGGACACGCATTAAATGTCCATTTGAGTATACGATAAATTTGACGGGGATGCTTGGACGCGGAGTCCCGGAAATCTCCGATTTTCCGCACACAAGCCGGAACAGCATATATTATTATTATTTTTATTTTTTTTTTTATTGCGCTTGTATAACGACCGCGACGAGTGGAAATTTATACCGACGACTACGCGAAGATAAAACGCGAAAAACCAATCGAGTCCTCATTGACGATAAAATGATACAATGCACGATAAAACGACAGCTGGATATATATTTTCTACGATAAAACGCGACCATCGTATCGAATATTTGAACAACATTTAGACGCGGCGATAGCAAAAAAAAAAAAAACAAAACATAAAATGCCTATAACCGGCTCAAAAATCGACTATCGTTTCGATCAATCGAAAAAAAAATGTCGAATATAATTATTATCGTTAATTTATCACTCACTAATTATCAAGAAAACTACAGGGGAACAATTTTCATTCGAAAAGATACTACGCTTGTAGAAGAAATCGGAACGAAATTTCTGGCAGTTTTTTACGAACGAAAACATTTTTGTAAAAAGTACAAGTCATCGTAGTAACCGTAAAAATATTCCACGCTTTAAAATTGATTAAAGTGAATTGAACGAAAACGAAACTAGAAAATTTCAAATATCTATATATTTGAAATATTACTCGAAAATTGCGTCTATAGAAAAATCGTCGAACATATTATAGAAATTATAATACTCCGTGAAAATGTCAATTCTATAGGATAATTTTTCTTGTATACGCGTCGCGTACAAAAACTCTCGGTTTCCAAATATTTTTGAAGAAGTACGAAAAATGTACAAGCAAATTTTCCACTGTGAAATTTTCGCATAACAAAAAATACTGGGAGCGGGTGTACCACTGTTGTGCCGTTGCAGGTTAGAAGTTGGGATTCGGGAAGGTAGGATACGTCGTGAAGTTATTTAATTTATATCTGTACGCATCGATAAACCTAACCTAACAAAACCTAGCGATCGCTTTTGAAAAACGGTTCTGAGCGAAGTTCGCTAATACGTATTTCGAAATATCGTAATTTTTACGATATTTAAATTAAAATTTACAAATAAAAACTACTACATTACGTTCAAGTTTTATCAAGTTTTTTGAACTTCGTGTTTAATTTTCAGACGTTTCTGTAGGATCAAACAATTTAATCCGCGTTATACCTACCAGATAAAAACCGAAAAAAAAGAAAACTCGAAAAAGTCAAACGCCCCCCTAAAAAAAAAATATGTCTTTTTTACTCACCAACAGCAGGACAACATTTTTTCTTTCGGAAAAGACGCTACTCTTGAAATCCGGAGCGAAATTTCCGGTAGAAAACGAAAATCGTAAAAAAATAAAAAAATAATTCGATCGTTACACGGTCATGTAAATATTCGGCCGTTTTCCCTGTGCGATCGTTCCCCGGATTCCTACGGGAACCGTTTGGAAAATCGAAAAACACGCTTTCCCAACTGGATTATTCGAAACGCAACGAAAACGGTGCTCCTCGGATCGTTTTCGTCGACCGGAGCCGAAACGTCTGGCGATCGCGCGGCCGCGCTGTCCCGACGTTCGTTCGCGGCGATTCGAAAAGAACTCGGTCGGGGGAGAGAAAAAAAAAAAAACAATGGAAAAATAGGAAAAACGCTCTGTGCGCCTTACCTGCAGCGGCGAACAGCGGCGGAACGGCCGCGGAATTATTGCGGTTGTCGTCGCGGTCGTCGGCGACGGCGGCAGCGTTCGTAACGGCCGCGGCCGAGGAAGGTACTGCGTCGGCGGCGGCGGCGGCGGCGGCGGCTGCGGCGGCTGCGGCGAGCGGCGCCCGAACGGCGGTGTCCGCGGAAAACGCGACGAGTACGGCGGCGAGCAGCACGACGATGCCCAACACCGGTTTGTACATAATCGCACGTTGGCACAGACTACCGCGCGGCGCCGTCCGACAGTGGCGGCGTAATAATATATAATAATATTTCGCGGCGCGCGACATTAAAAACACATCGTCTTCCGGCGGCGCGTCGCGCGCCGAATCGCCCCCGTCGTGTGTCGCAGCCGTTCGCCCCGTTCACCCGTTTCGCGAACGCGGCGTTACCAGGTACGCGCCGCGCGGTAACACGCGGCCCGGGCGCCCGACGCGCGTAGGCGCATCGGGTCCGGTACGTTTTGTTTCGTCGTTGTTACCGTTCCGCACTCCCGGCTATTCATTCGGCCGTTTTTCGCGGCGCGCAACGTCGAAACGTCTCGCCGGTTTTCCCGGAAAACGCGGTTATTATTGTTATTGTTGTTATTCGACAGGGAAAAAAAGAAAAAAAACAATATCGCGGTTATTTTGACGAGTCGAAAGACTTTGATCGGGCGGACGGGGGGAGACGGCTTTTACGTTTTTTTTTTTTTTGCGCAGCGTAATATAAACACAACCTCTACTACAGTTAACTGCACAATAATTATTTTGTTTGCACGCGTGAAAAATCCTCAAAACACTATACTTCTAGAGAGAAGGAGAGAAAGAACGACTTTGGTTTAAAAAAAATATACAGAGCGGACCGCCCGTGCAACAGGTCGGCTATGTATGGTAGGTACAGCGACGCGGTGTACTTATCGGACGTATATTAGTTATGCTATTGCAGTTTCAATACAGCAATAATAATAACAGTTAAATTATACGGTACACAAAATATAGTAAAAAAAAGTTCCGATATAATATAAATTAGACGGACCATGATTATAACAGTGATAAGTTATTACCAATAAAATTCAACATTTTCTCAGCCTACGAAATATCCGTGCGTTAAAAAAATTAGCGAACGATTTGATTCATATATTTACCTTGTTGCACTGGATGATGATCTGCACTTTCACGAGTTATCTGAAGAAGAAATACATGAAACCACGAGATATAAAACGAAAATATGCAAAACGAATTAAAACCGTCAAAATATGCAAACTACGTAAAATACAACAATATCGGAGTTATTTTAATAGGAACGATCTAAACCGAGGACATATCTTATCAGATTTCAAATACCTTATTCTAATGAATATTATACATTTACATATAAATCCGTTCCCTAGTGAATAATAATGTAATACATAGAGGTACCTAGTGTAGTGTCTAGAAAACGGTTAAACGTTAAATGTACGCTGTTTTTTTTATGAACACGGAGTTGTTTTTAACATTTAAACAAACATTTATTATTATTACTTTTTTTTTTGTTATTATTCTTATTACTATACGAATCGTGGACATGTGTATTGTGTACGGTATCTTACTCTCGTATAGTTGTACAATGAAAACACGTTTTTATCACATGAAAAATCCGCGCTCTGAACGCAATAAACAGAGTTTGGGTGTTGTACAGTGCGATTTTTTTTTAATAGTTTCAATTTCGTCAAGACCGGTATTTCGCTGAAAAATATAGGAACCGCAGATAATGAAAATATTGTAACGATATTACGGACGGTTGAAAACGAACCGTTATCTGCACATTACGGTCCACCCCAAAACCCCATTCTCAAATACAAGGGTGAAAATTCGACGTGATTATTTTCAAACTATTAGAAAATCGAATACTCGTATATTGTGTGTACAATTCACTAACAGTCAAATCTGCACGATTCACAAATTTATAAAACCGCACGGATTGCGTTGGTTAAGTACGTATTTGCACATGTTTTAAATCACAAACCATTTGACGTTATAAGTGTATTCATTGTGTAGCTATTGATATACAAATTTTATCACTTTCAGACCACTTACCGAGAAAATGCGTCATCTGCGTTATCAAATTTCCTAATCGATATTTTCCAGTGGAATACTGTGCCGGTCGACTAGCGCGTGTACGAGGGGGAAGTAGATTTTTAATAAAGTCTCAAAAGTGGTTTCTGTCTATGAGGGAGATAAATACAATTACAACTGATACAGCAATACCGTATAGTCCGCAAATAACTTTTTTCTTTTTTTTTTGTAAAGTATATTACAATCTACACAAGTATGTACATTCAGCATTTGGGATGAAAGAATATGATTAATGATATTAAAAATGTTTGATAAAAAATTAATAATTATCTTACAATTGAAAGTAAGTAAATTTCTTTGTTATATGAGTATTAAAGTGTATAACCTAACCCCCTCCCCAAAAAAAAAATAAATATTTTTTCTGTAAATGCACCCACCGATCGATACCGGAACATTACCGTTAATCGGAAATATTTTTCCTTTATAAGAATTCATTTTAAAATGAATATTTTCCAGAAAAATACAGTTGCAGACAAAACGTTTCTCAATTTGTAAAAACGTAACTCTCAAGAATATTCGCTCAATCTTTAATCCCAACATTCCATTAGCGGACTTTTCCCCTTCACGCCTGCAGGATCGGTTAATTCTTAGCCAGTTATGAACAAGAGCTGGGCGACGCGGATAACTTATGCTGTACAGATGACGTGTGTAGGACAACCCCGCATATGTCTGCTGTGAAACTCTAGAAACAATTGAACATATTATCGTAGACTGCACCCGAGAAGGAGATTCCAAAGGAATATAATAAAGAATAATCAGAAGAACTTACAAAGACATCAGTGGATCGAATAACTAACTTGTACGTTAATTCGTAGACATTCATTCGATTTTGCTATAAATTTGAAATTGATGTTGTTGTTTTTTTTTTTTTCCATTTGTCGATTGGTTATATTTACATTTGTATTAGCATAGGTTTGTTGCACTGGTCTGCGTTCGTAACAGTCGTAAGCCATACGATAAACAATAATGAATGACCGGTTGGCCGTTATGCGGAAAAAACGAAACCATGCGCACGTGGTTCAGGGGCGTGAATCTAACGTCCCGCGTGACCCGTGGGCAATCCGTTGTTGTTGTCTGCACGGTGATGATGTTTGTTGCAAATATTTCATTGACTCGGGTACGATCATTTTACGCAATGTTTTTCCCCGAATCGCTACGCCGACAACAGCGTCAACCCAACCGTCATTGGATATACCGTATTTGATACCGCGTTTGCAATAACACGAGTTGGGTGCCAAATTTCCCGTGGGCAACGGGCTTGTAAAGAGTGTGAATTTTATTCGCGTTGACCGTGTATTGATACTGTTTACCGTGGCGATACGAGTACACCTTTTTATTTATTTATTATTTTTTTTTTTTTCAAATATAACCGACAGGACGGGTCTGTTTAACGCTTAATACTTCGGTCATCGCTGCCATCGTTTATTAAATGTCTTACGAATTAGTTTATCGTGAGTACAATTGACGCTTTCCTCTTGGGTGAAGACTAATATAATCCTAAGTTACATAAATCGACCTTAGGGAGACGTGGGAGATGTTAATCAACAATTCATTTTTATAATTTGGTCTTCATCGTGTCTAAATATGTTTAACATAGATTCAATGTATAACTAGCACAGCGAGTGGACAATTTTTGAGTTAAAACTAACCGAACCATTTTGCACCGATATAAGTTGAGTAGATACCTATCTATATTTTCTTTATCTGCGACTAGAACCGTCGCACCGGCATACCGTAAGGGTGCGATTCTCTATATAGGAACGAAGAGCCTTAATCAGATGTCCAAGGACACCTCTATTCCGGAGAGACGTGTCCACGTGTTTCCAAGAAGTCGAGTTGAACGCGTTTTTGACGTCAAGGGCTACGAGCCCATAATAGTTCCTGTTGTCGCGACGGCTCAAGATTAACCCATGTGGCCAGGTTGAAGACCTTGTTGATGGCGTTTTCCGTCGATCTTCTCCTGCGATACGAACACACCTATATACTGCAGGTACTTCGGGCATTTCAAAACGTGCACAACCGGATTTCGCTCAGAATCGTTTTTCGTTAGCAAAAATGCATTTCGTTACTCACAGTTATGAATTAAATCAGTTTTTTTTTTTTTTTAAATATGGTGGACTATAATAAATGAAAAGTTCACGAAAGGAAACAATTGTATTTAAATTTGTATTGTTTATGCGTAACATATAAAATATGACTGTCAGTATATTAAGTAAATTTCTTTGTTAAAACTGCTTTATCCAAACGTAATAGGAACTGTTTATTTTAATTTACCATTTCAGAATGAATAGGAACTATATATAAATTCACTCTTCACTCTATATGTAATATTCACTCTTCACAATGTATTATGCCTAGTATAGTTTTAATTTAATTTCTGAACGTTTTAAACAATTGTGTATAAAACGTTTCAAACACAGGGACTTGTCTAAAACATTTCACGGCCCTGATCCGAGGTTAAATCCAGGAGTCTCACACGATAGTGTTTATTAAAGACGATTTCGACGTGAAATGTATTTTTTAAACGTTTTCAAAATTTACTTACTCCAACGCCGTCGTCGTCGTTTATCTGTATACACACGCCGAAATAACCCAAATTAAATTCAAGGCCGACTATATTTGAAATAATTCGTATTACCTTTAAAGTTGAACACACTACTTACATATATAATAGGAAGGTTTTTTTTTTTTTTTTTTACTCGGATTCCGTCTATATGCAAGGTGTACCTACGTCACACTATATTGTTATATTCGGACGCCCGTTCTACCGTGCGTATAATATATCATTATTGACAACACCAGAATTATCATTGTAAACACAATTCGCTGATATTATTATAATAATAATATTAAAGTTCGTTCCTAGGTCCATATAATTTTTAAAAAAAATTAAAATCATCGAAATTAAATAATATGAATTGTTCGACGCATGTAACGACGCGTACCTATATAATTTAATTTTTGAAAAAATATCGTGTATAGTACCTGTAGGTATAGTCGTTGTTTACACCGCAATAATATTTAGGTATTATAATAACCGCATCAGTACTCATCTGTGTGTAATAAAACCGTCAGACGAAAAGTACTCGTTATTAAAAGAAACGAGTAAAAAAAAAAAAAAATGTGCATTATGTCTTGTACGCCTCTGGTGCCGGAGAAGCGAAGAGCTAAACCAAAGGTGTATAGTTTTTAGCGCGAGCGAATTGAATTTCGACAATTTCTGAATGACCTAACATAAATCTCGTACATATACACACAAAGTTATGACATTTAAACCGGAAAAAAGCAGGAAAAATAACATAAAACAAAATAATATTTTTTAAAAAAAATGCCAAAATTGACAGACACTTTTAGCGTTTTTATACATTTTTAACGATCAGTTAATTTTGTGTCGAATTTTCCCACTGCTTTTGGATATTTCCATTGGTTTCCTTTGCTCTAAATTTAGATGTTGCTTTGTAAATAAATTGAAATGTCAAAACGTTAAAAGATAGGTCGAATTTCATTATTATTGGTTACCCACGTTGTTACGGTTGGAGGGTGTTTGTTTTTTTTAACTTTGTACTCCTCTATACAGACTCCCCGAATGAGACCAGGCGCATAAAATTGTTTATACGCTTGACGTCAGTATCGAGAATGTGCATTTCGGGAGATATTTTTTTAGTTTTTAAGCATAATATTATATTCCTTATTTACGCGGTTTTTTTTTCCTTTTGTGCCATTATTGATCCCGTCATCATATTATAATAACATTATTATACATGAGCGGATTTTTTGACAGATTCGGTTCTTTGCGTTGTATCCAACACTAACGTAATAATATCGACCATAACTGCAAACTATATTATTATAATCTCCAAGGACCTAGTCTTTCAACGGACTAAAACGTCCAAAAATGTTCAAAGGATTCGGAGCGTCTGACCCGCTTCAAGACCGCGGGTCTTTTCGGAATATTTTAAAGGATTTACGAATTCATGGCTTTATATTATACGTAGCATAGGCGTATAATACTGATAATAATATTATGTTTTATTACACAAAAAACTGTTCATCTTATATTAAATTAGGCAAACGAAAATTATTATTATTGTTAGAGAAATATTCGTTTATGTTTTTAAATTTCAAACACATTTTAATTCTTTTGAAAATTATTTTTGAGTAGGTATTCAAAATGTGTGTAAATAATTATCACCGTGTAATATAAAGTTTGAAGTGTTTACCAAAGCACTGGCTGCAGTTAATGACATTTGGACTATATAACGTATGTAGTGAACAAAATTGTAATTATTGGCGTTAAGTTTAGTAACACTTGTTTTCTCTATCTGCCTCTCGTTCGTATTAAAGCGTAGGTATTCCACATCTCCACGGTTGTGACTCTCCGGTTGAGTTTAGAACAAAGGGACATAATACAATTTATAAAAAAAAAAAAAAAAAATTTATTGTGGGTCTTACGAATGACTTTTTTAATATTTTCCTTTTATTATCAATATACGCGTATTTTAATTTTCGCTTAATTTTAATGTTATACATATACCCGATTATACTGCAATTTGATTTTTTTTTTATATTTTTTATAAATACTTCTTAAATTATAAATGACAGAAATTAGTTTGCAATTCGCAATAACTTTAGTAATCATTAATATTCCGTGATATTGAAATGCATAACAAAATATAGCTGTAAAAAATATCGGGTACTTGAACTGGTATCTACTAATAGCCTGCTCGCGTTCCATTATCAATCTGAACTATTAGGCTCGCCACCGGGTCTACGGTCCTATCATGCATATAATATATTATATTATATGAAAAAAGTGATGCAAATAACGATGATTCATAAAAATATACGAGTATACGAGGGTCTCCCTAATTTTGTTTTACCGAGTGGAGAGTAGAAGTTTTACTTATGGATTAAGTAACATATCCCTACCCAAAGTATCAAAGTGCATTAAATTGTATTTTTTTAAAGCATTTTTCTTATTTTGTTGAACATTTAAATTTACACCCTAATTAATACTATTAAAACTGTGACATGGACATTTAAATGTGGACCACTCTGTATAATATCAGTGACTTTACAATACTATCGATAAAGAATTTTTCCTAATGGTATACAAAATAGGTATATTCTAATTATCGGTATATTTTTTATTATACAGTATACACGCGATTGCCTCAATATTACTTAACAAAGAAATTACCTAATATTTATAATTTAAAATAATATTAGTTCGAGTGACTATACTTATAAGCACCTATTTTTATATGTAGGTACTTAATGCTTATATCAGCTTTTTTTTTTTAAGAGGTTTTAGCAAAATTTTAATAATAGCTCACCAAATTGAAAAACTAGAGTTATTTTTTTTTTTTTTTGAGTAATTTTTTGAGATATGATGGCTTTGTGAAAATTATATAACGTCTTTTTATGTTTAAATAGCACACAGATAAACGATTCGCTTATGCGATTCGTATTATATGTGGCTCTTATGAACCACATATAATGCATTTTTTTTTTTTTTTTTTGCAAATAGCCAGTAATTATTATATTATTATTTTCTGCAGTAAAAACTTTAGTTGTGATAAATTACCATATTTAACAGATAAATCCTGAATTCTCTTCAAAAAATAAGTTTTGAAATGCGGTTTTTAACATTTTCGTATATTATTTTTTTAGACTGCGATAGACAAACACATAGTATACGTTTCAAAATTTCATAATCAAATTATTCAACTTATAATTACTATATTTTACTATCGTTGTCAGTGGTGCTGAATCTTATTCCTGAATATGACAGCCACCATAGTGAATGCAATGGATGGGTGCTGTATAATTATGGTGTAGTAAAAAAATTTAAAACATTTAAATGTAAAAAAGACAAATACTGAAGTACTTACTTATATAATTTCAAGCGTGGCAATGAAATATAATTCAAAAGAGCGTGTATCCAAAAAATGTATTTACCAACACAAGACCGCTGATGAGGTAAGTGAACGTTATACTCGTTATATTTAATTTTTTCGTTGTTCGGCACCACCAATTTTTGTGTTCATAAAACTATAAAAAAACATCTTTAGAGCTGATTTATTTTTTTATGTTCCCGTTGGGCTTAATGATACAGTTCACTTAATTTAATAGTTGACAAAAGAAAATTATAACAGCTGCATCCTAGTTGGGTCCATATAATTGTGATTTTGACCCGTAGCATCTGTGATAGTCTGGTAGGTACACTAGTCGGGTACCCGATAGATTTTATAGATAATATATTAACATAATTGTTTGAATGCCGCCGGGTTGCACACATTTTTTGCCAATTCGTAGATTCACCCTCCCCCCCTCCACAATAAGAAACATTACTAAAAATAAAAAAATATTTGAATTAATTTCCTGAGCAGTCTGATACACTGATTTTTATTAGCCATAACCATAAAATAATACATTTTGTACATTTTTCTATTTTTCCTATTTTTTTTCCCGGTTTTTCTCATATATTATAAAAACTCCTAAAAAAAATCAAAAAAAAATACCTCCTTTAAGAGCCATCCCAGTCAGATTTTCTTTCAAAAAAAGCTGTACACTTGAAAATCGGAACAAAATTTATGGTGTCTAACGTATTTAGATCCTTCTTAGGTATACGTTTTATTATTGTTAAAAAAATATTTCATATTATTCTTAAATATTTTTATATATATACAGTTTAAAATCCCTGATGGAAAAAATTAATTTATCACGACAAAATCGAAAGTAGTTACGAAACGAACGCCGCCTATACACAATATGGGAAATTTTGTCGCCGGGGGCCACTGCCGCCTATATCTCCCGTTAAATACGCCTCTGGGTGGAATACCGGCTCATTAAATCATTAATCAATCGATGTACACTATAACTTACTAATTTATTTATTTATATGTATCTACACAATGTGCGCAGGTAAAATGATATGGAGTACGGGGCAGTTTAGAAACAAAGCCCCTCCACGGGTTAAACTGAGCTCGATTATCGCAAA